GGATGGTCCCAACCCCTCCCCCCCCCCCGGCCCCCCCCTCCCCCCCCCCCCCCGGCTGCTGCAGCGGGCTCTGATGTCCCCAAATCGCCACTGCCCTGCCCGGGTCACCTCGGGGGGCTGGTTCTGCCCCCCGGGACTGCACCTGCGGGGCTGGGAGTGTCCCCGGGGGGGACAGCAGTGCCCCCCCAGCTGTGCCCGCGCCCCCTCACCCCGAGACCCCCCCGGGACCCCCGGGACCCCGCGCTCGCTGCTCGGTACCTGCGCTGCTCTGCCCGGGAGCGGCGGATTCTCCCAGGGCCGACCGCAGCCGCGGGGCTCGGACGCGGCTTCCCGAGCTGCCCGAAGTTCGGGAATCGCTGCGAGCCGGGGTTTGGCCTCTCCCGGCCAGGAGAGGCAGAGCGCGCCCGTCACGCTCCGATCTCGCCCCGGGCTCGTCTCCAGCTGGAGCATCCCCCGCGCAGCTCCAGGGCTCCGAAATGCCGCTCGGAGCGGCTCTGTCCTCAGCCGGCAGCGCCTGCCCGGGCTCCAACCCCCCCGAGCCGGCTCCAAAAGCAATTAAGAGCTTCCAGAGGTGTCGCCTGCGCCCTCCGCCCGCGGCCGGGCCGGGCCAGCTGTCAGGATGCTTTATGGCGTTAATACCCGCGGCTTTGTCACCGGGAGCCGCGCTAATAACGCAGCATTTCCGCGGCCTAACGCGGACCAGGTGCCCCTTCCCAGCCCCGGGGGGGGGCTCGGCGCCCCCAGACCCGAAGGGAAGCCCCCGGAGCGAGGGGGCCGCGGCACCTGGAGCGGGGAATTGCGCTTTCGGCGGAGTTCGGGGAGCGTGGGCGGGGGAGCCGGCGGTGGTCCCGAGGGGAGGGGACAGGTGGCCCCAGAGCGGGGCCGGGGGGCGCGGCCAGGCCCGGCCCACGCGGGCAGATCGCAGCTGCCGGCGGCGTGGGGAGCTGGGATCGGGAAAGGGCTGGGATCGGGAAGGGCTGGGATTGAGAAAGGGCTGGGATCAGGGAAGGGCTGCGATCGGGAAGGGTTGGAATCGGGGAAGGGCTGGGATTGGGGAAGGGCTGGGATTGGGGAAAGGCTGGGATTGGGGAAGGGTTGGGAGCGGGGAAGGGCTGGGATTGGGGAAGGGCTGGGAGCGGGGAAGGGCTGGGATCGGGGATGCTCTGGGAACACTGGATTCTCTGGGATCTCTGGAAGCTCTGGGATCTATGGAAACTCTGGGATCTCTGGAAGCTCTGGGATATTTGGATGTTCTGGGATTGAGGGATGCCCTGGCATCAGGGGAAGCTCTGGAATCATGGGATGCTCTGGGATCTCAGGGATTGTGGGATGCTGTGGAATCGGGGGATGCTGTGGGATTGAGGTAAACTCTGGGATCTCTGGGATCTCTGGGATTGTGGGATGCTCTGGGTGCCCCATGGCCAGCCTGGTCACGGTCACAGCCAGCCCCGTTCCCGGCTGCTGGATCATCCCGGGATGAGCTGTGCCCAGCCTGGCCCCAAAACCCCAAACGAGCGGGGTGGGGGCACTGCCTCACCCCAAACCTCTTCCCAGGGGACATTTGGGGGTGCCGGGAGGATTCCCGATATTCCAATCCCTCCTGCCTGTCCAGAGTGGGAAACGGGGCTGGGAAAAGGACTTGGGAAAAGGATCTGGGAAAAGAGTCTGGGAAAAACATTCTGGGAAAAAGGTTCTGGGAAAAGGGGCTGGGAAAAGGTCCTGGGAAAAGGGTCTGGGAAAAGAATCTTGAAAAAAGGTCTGGGAAAATATTCTGGAAAAGGCTCTGGAAAAAAGGGTTTGGGAAAAGGGTCTGGAAAAGGGTTCTGGAAAAGGGGTCTGGAAAAAGGGGCTGCCAGGGCGGGCTGGCGGAGCGGCGGCGGGGAGGGGGAGCGGCGGCCTCGCAGCGCAGGGTAATTGGAGCACTTTGTCATTCAGCTGCCTGGAATTGGCGCTCCATTGTCTCGGCCCCGCCGGATGCGGAGCTCCGAGCGCCGCACCGAGCGCGGGGACGCGGCCAAGGCGCTGACGAGGCCGCCAGATGCTCCCCCGGGCCTCTCCCCCCTTCCCCAAAATCAGCCGTGGGTGGGTGGCAGAGGGAGGGAGCGGACCCGGGCAGGGGGAGCAGGGGGGGCTTGGCAGGGCTGGGACCGGTGGGATGGGGCTCCTGCACCCCGCCGTCCGGCCAGGAGGGGTTTTGGGGGGCAGCTCGCCCCTCCCCGGGCTGCAGAGGGCCCGTGGGATGCTTGTGGCGTTCAGGTGAGGTGACAGGTTGTACCGGCGGGGACACCCGGTGCCACCAGGCAGGGAGGCCACCGGAGCTCCTGCTGCTGCCTCGGTTCCTCTTTTCCGTCTCGTTTCTGCTGCCCCAGGGGGTTTTGGGGGGCAGAGGTGGCACCCAGGCTCTCCAGACCCTCTCTTGAGCAGGAATTCCTCCTCTCCTCTCCCATTCCCCGGGCTGGGAAGGGCTGAGCCCCCCAGTGCCTTAGGAGAGGTGGCTGAGGGAGTGACAAGGACAAACAGAGGCCACACCACCCCAAAACACCCCCGGGGGCCCTCCCGGCTCCCTCCAGCTGCAGAACTCGGCAGGGCCTTTCCCGAGGAGTGAATTTTGCCTGGAAAAGCGCTTTCCCCCCCCCAAATCTGTATTCAGCACCGGTGGGGTGTCCCCAGAGCAGGCCCTTCCCCGGCTGTCACATCCCCCGGGGTGACAGGAGTGACCTCCCGGCTCTGCTCTCCCTCCAGGGCCCCGGGGCCGGCGCCTCCAAGGACGATTGTCTCTCCAAGCTGTTCACGGCCAGCGGGGAGTGCTGCCGCCTCTGCAACGTGGGCGAGGGCGTGGTGCAGCCCTGCGGGGTCAACCAGACGGTCTGCGAGCCCTGCCTGGACAGTGAGTACCCCCTGAGGACCCCCAGCCCCCCGGGGACAGGCCCTGGGGTCTCCCTGAGCATCCCTCGTCCCCCCCCTGGAAGTGTCACAGCGCTCCCTGGTCACCCCTCTGCTGAGTCAGGAGGGGCTCGGGCTGGATTCTGGGGGGAGGATTGGTAAAAGAGGGAGATTTTTCCCCAAAAATGAGAGTTTGGGGTGTGGGGAAGGGCACAGCCCCACAGCGGGGTCTGGGCAGAGCTCTCAGGGGGGTTTGGGGTGGTCCCGTGCACAGGAGGGATTTTGGTGGTCCCGTGCACAGGGGGGGTTTGCGGTGGTCCCGTGCCCTTGGGATTCGGATATTCCCGGATCCCTGAGCCCTGCACGGTCACCAGCATCCCTGCCAGGACCTGCCCTGCCAACCCCTCCCCTCCCTGGGATCACTCCCAGCCCCATCCCCGCTCTCTCTCCACCTGCTGCCTCAACATTTATCCCAAAAAAAAATCCCCCAGCCCGCCCCGACTGACCTCAGCGTCAGCTCTCAGGGGGGTTTGGGGTGGTCCCGTGCACAGGAGGGATTTTGGTCTGCCCAGGCACCGAGCAGGGACACGGTGGTCCCGTGCCCTTGGGATTCGGATATTCCCGGATCCCTGAGCCCTGCACGGTCACCAGCATCCCTGCCAGGACCTGCCCTGCCAACCCCTCCCCTCCCTGGGATCACTCCCAGCCCCATCCCCGCTCTCTCTCCACCTGCTGCCTCAACATTTATCCCAAAAAAAAATCCCCCAGCCCGCCCCGACTGACCTCAGCGTCATCCCCAGCCACGCCTCCCGTTTGTTTTTTGGTTTTTTTTTTAAATTCCAAACCTTTCAAAGGCCGCAGAACTGAGCAGGGAGAGGCAAAGCCCGGCAGGGAGGGAGGGAGGGGAAGGAGATCCCTGGGCCCGGCGGGGAGAGGAGAGGAGAGGGGCAGGGATCTCTGCCCAGGGGGATCTCCAGGGGGGATCTGCTGAGGGGATCTGCCGGGGGGATCTCCAGGGGGATCTGCCCGGGGGGGGTTCTGACTGGGGGGATCTGCCAGGGGATCTGCCCAGGGGTCTCTGCCAGGGGGATCTGCCGGGATCTCTGCCGGGGGGGATGTGCCCTGGGGGATCTCCCGGGGGGATCTCCAGGGGGGTCTGACCAGGGGGATCTGCCGGGATCTCTGCCAGAGGGGATCTGCCCTAGGGGATCTTCCCTTGGGGGATCTGCCGGGGGGATCTGCCCTGGAGGATCTGCCAGGGGGATCTGCCCTGAGGGATCTGCCGGGGGGATCTGCCCAGGGAGGGTCTGCCAGGAGGGATCTGCCGGGAGCAGCAGTGCCAGCCCGGGGGAGGCAATGGGAGAGGGGCAAAGGCTGAGCGGGGCGGGGAGGGGGCGGACAGGAGGCAGAGGAGGCTGCAGGAGCCGAGCAGGGACAGAGCAGAGCCAGGGCAGGGCTAAAAATACCTCAGCGTGCTGAGAAATCGATGGACGGCGCTGCCTCCCTGAGCCCGGCCGGGAAACGGGGCTGGATCCCTCCTGGATGAGGGGATGGATCCCAGTGGGGCATGGATCCCACCGAGGGGTGGGTCCCAGTGGGGGATGGATCCCAGTGGGGCATGGATCCCACCAAGGGAAAAGCTCCTCCTGACCCTCAGCTCTTCCCTGAGAAGGATTTTGTGGTTTGGAGGGAAGGAAACCTGAAAACCCCACAGCCGTCCCTTGCTGGGATGGGGAGAGGACCCCTGTGGCTCTGGATCCCTCTGGATCCCTCTGTGACCCCCCCCAGATGCCTCTGGAACCCCCCGGATCCCTTTGTGACCCCCCCCCCGGATCCCTCTGGAACTCCCCGGATCCCTCTGTGACCCCCCAGATCCCTCTGGAACCCCCCGGATCCCTCTGTGAC